GTTTCCAGGTGAGAAATAATGTCAACTTAGTGAAGTCAATCCTCAACCTTGAAACTCCCTATGTAATCTATTAAACATCCCATTGTAGCAAAACCCACATCTTACAGATTCTGAAAAAGTATGTTGTTTGTTTTTGAGAAAATCAGAGTGAAAAACAAAAATATCTCAGAAAATTATGAAAGTAGCATTGACCTTATGATCCTCCTAGAAGGGCTATGGGGACCCCCAGACTATATTAAGAACGGCTGCTTGAGTAATAGAAAGCAAAGTAATCACAACAAAACGCTTCACAGCAGTAAAGTTATAAAGACAAACAGTAACAAGTATTACAGACAATGGAAAGTAACTGGAATCCTCATGTATTGTTGGCAGGAATAAAAACTGGTACAACCACTTTGGAAAACAGTTTGGCAGTCCCAAGAGCAGGTCAACAGACAGCTATCACATGACGCAATAATTCAACTCAAAAGGCATATGCTCAAGAATATGTCCACAAAAAACTTGTGTAAGTATTCACCTTGGCATTATTCATAGTAGTCAAAAAGTAGAGACACTCCAAATGTCCATCAATTGATGAATGAATCAACTGGAGAAATAAAATGTGGCATATGCTGGAATAGTGTTCAGCAGTAAAATACATGCTACAACACAGATAAATCTTGGAAACACTGTGCTTCTTAAGAAACCAGCCACAAGTTTTCAAAATCTGGTGTGTATTTTACCCCTTCAGCACATTTCAAATCAGTCACTTTCTACGGGCTCAACAGTCAGACATGGCTTGAGGCAAGCCTGTGGACAGAAGTTCTAGATCTACACTATAAAGTCTTTGTTTTAAATGATGTTTGTGATAATGACCCTGAGTCAATGTAATTTCCCCTACCAAGGAAAAGTTCAATTCAATTCAGTACTATACATTATATCTAAGTATGTTATTCAGTACAATATATACATTATATCTAAGTACGTTAGTAACATGTAATTATGTTAATCTTTCTTAAAAGATTCAAGTGATGAAAACATTTCCCAAAACTAGAATACACTGCTTGATTACTTCAGTTGACTATATTTTGAAATCTTAAGACTATACTCTAGAGAACTATAAAAATCCCAAAACAACCTAGTCAGGAGCTAGTATATAGAAGTCCCATCTTTTCTCTGCACTAATTTTAACCACAACATTCTTCTGGACTTCATCTTGCTTGCTGACACTTAGAAATCCTCACACTGTTTCCAATAGCAAATAATGAATAAGTAAGAGAGAACATAATCTCATACACAGGGACTTTGCCATTACACATTTTAAAAAATCTATTAACTTATATCATGAAAACCCTTACTAATGAAACCACCTTGGAAAGACATAGTAAAAGTTTATATTCCAACCACCTTTAGGTAGAAATTTAAACTTTACCCCATTGAGCACTCAATGAAAAAATAAATTTCACTTTAATTTCAAAAAGTATAAGCTTTATCATCAACCTTGAATGAGTTAAAATTGAATACAAACTTTATTAAAGTATCCTGTTTCTCCCTGTTACAAATAGAAACAGAGGGAAAAATAAGAAACTTAATAACCACCTTACAACTTGTTTATACCTTATCTAAGAAATTTAATATAATTTCACCCAATCGATTAGAACACATTCATATACATACTCCAGAATACTAGAGTGGGTAGTCTTTCCCTTCTCCCACGGATCTTCCAGACCCAGGAATTAAACCAGGGTCTCCTGCAATGCAGGAGGGTTCTTTACCAATTGAGCTATCACAGAAGCCCAGATACTTTTCAGCACAGTACAGTAAAAGAATTTACATCACACAGAAAACATTTTCAACATGGGATGTGTCTAATAGAAAGCCTAAGCCTTCAATATTATTTTTTGTAGGTCTTCTGCTTATCCTTTTTACCTCTAAGATTACATAAGAACTTTCAGGACCAAATACTTCCCAATTTTTTCAGTGAAATCTCAACGTCATTAAGTTTATTTTATTGACTAATTTTAATCTGTAGTAAATAGTTTAAATCTGTGAAACCCTTAGAGAAAAACTTAAAATTATAGGTGACAGAACTTTTCTTGTGCTTCAAGAAGAAATTTTCAAACCATGTGAAAACTACTTTTCTTATTCTTGTACATTTTTCCAAACGTACTTACCCTAACAGAGCCCACAGGTAGTTCAATTTGTCTTCAGGTTCTTGATGCAACGAATGATAAGCTTAAATTTTTATCACATTTTCTACTTCAAAAGAAAGTATTTACCAAAATAAAAATTCAACTATCATGAGACAAAGTTGCTGCAGAAAGATTTTATCTGTTAAAATTTTGCTTTGGTTATAGAAGAGTTCAACTAAAACTTCCACAGAATTTGAAATTCTAGTTTCACCATCATAAAAAGTTAAAAAATACTCACAAATAATAGTATAATAAGCTGATCTAAATGAATTTTTCCATTTACAAAACACTGACTTTCTAATCTTTTACAGTAAAATGCTGAAAGCAGCCAGAATAATGGAGACCTGAACTTCAAATCCTAGAAAGAACAACTATGGGCTTCAAAAGTTAATATGGCTACACATTCATTAGAGTAACAAAAATTAAAAAGACTGATATTATCAAATGTTTGTAGGACTATGGAGCAACAGGAATTCCCATGCACTGTCAGTGGGATTGTAAAGTACAAGCACTTAAAAAAAAAAACCACAGTTCCTTATGAAACTAAACATTCAGCTTCCCTGTTACACACACTCATTCCACTTCGAAGCATTAACAAGAGAGATAAAAGCATTCATCCAACAAAAAGATTTGTACAGAAGTGTTCAGAGCAACTAACTGCAAAGAGTCCAGGTGACTTTCAATATGAAAACAGATAATTACGGTGGTATATTCATACAATGGAAGGCAAAAAGCAATAAAAAGGAAAGAATTACTGATGATACATAATAGCAAGTCTCAAGACCCTAAGCTGAATGAAAAAGCCTTACCGAACAGAGTGTATACTGTATACCATATGAAACTCTACAATAAGCAAAACGAGTCCATAGAGAAAAACAGTGGTTGAATCGGGCAGAGTGACTGAACTGACTGGGAAAGGGCCAGAGGGAACTTTCCAGTTAATTATAAAGCTCTACAACTCCAGAAGGCTTCGGATTACACACGTGTATGTATTTGCGTAAACTCGTAGAATGGCAACCGACTGCATTTCACTGTAAGTCAAATTTACCTTCAAAAATTTTAAGTTGAAAACCTGAACTCAGGTTAATGATATGCAACGCACATTGCTGAAGTGCTTTTTAAGGGTTCAGTTCAGTTCAGTCGCTCAGCTGTATTTGACTCTTTGCGATCCCACGGACTGCAGCACGCCTGGCTTCCCTGTCCATCACCAACTCCCGGAGTTTACTCAAACTCATGTCCACTGAGTCAGTGATGCCATCCAACCATTTCATCCTCTGTCGTCCCCTTCTCCTCCCGCCCTCAATCTTTCCCAGCATCAGGGTCTTTTCCAATGAGTCAGCTCTCCGCATCAGGTGGCCAAAGTATCGGAGTTTCAGCTTCAGCATCAGTCCTTCCAATCAGGACTGATTTCCTTTAGGATGGACTGGTTGGATCTCCTTGCTGTCCAAGAGACTCTCAAGAGTCTTCTCCAACACCACAGTTCAAAAGCATAACATGTACTAATACTTGCAACTTGCTTTGAATTGCATCCAAAAAATAAAACTGACCAATAAATGATTGTGTGAGATGCTAACTGTAGGTGATGGACACATGACAGTTCATTGCACTTCCAACTTTCCTGTATGCTGGAAAATACTTTAAAAATTAAGGGAAAATTTTATAGGAAAATTGAGAGACCAAAAAAATAGGGATTCAAAAGGTGGTCAAAGTTTCTCACGATGCTACACATTCTTACTACTTGACAGAACACACCACCTTTCATAATCATATAAACAAACAGCGCAATTGTTTATTGCTCCTTAAGGGAAACTTACAGGTACGTTTCATTTTTGCTTCTTCATAAACTGTTCACTGTCTTGATATCTGCTGATCAACTGTCTGAGATCAATTCAGTAATTACGGAAATATTCTGGGACGTATATTTAACAAAAACTAAAATGATTTGTTAAATTCCTCAAGATCATTAATTAACTGCAATAACTGTATTCCTGAATAGATTTTAACCGGTAAATTACTTTTAAATTTCCTCCATTAACTCCAGGTTCGTGCTCTTTCATCTGACTGCAATTGCTAACATGTGAATAACGTAGCTATTCCTCTAAAATCAAACAAAAACCTCCCCAACGATTGGCATCTAAAGAATGACAAACACACTTAAAAAAAAAAAACAGAACCAGCAAGTCGTCAGTGAAAGTCATCCACCTTTCTCCTTAAGCCTAGTTCTATTAAAATTTGGCTGAAAGCAATTTCTACGTCACAGCTCATTTTTTTCTTTAAAAATTGGAAGGTGGGAAAGATTTCAGCGGTCAAAACGCAGAACTAAATGGACACGTGCTCCTCACCCCCAAAATCTACTTTAACCCCCAGACAGGTAAAACAATGAGCACCCCCCTCTTTTTTTTTTTCCTTCAAGAGACAAAACCGCAGACCAGGCTAAGTCAAGCCCTCGCCCAGCCTCCACCCCGCCCGAGCCAGGCGGCGGGTCTCTTTCCTTTGTGCGGAGTCAGAGGGAGGCGGCTGGAGGCGGGGAGCTAGGGGAGGAGGCTGGGGTCGGCGGACGCCGGAGCAGGAGGAAGGCGCCGAGGAGAGCGGCATTAGCGCGTCCCACAAACAGGCCAAGAGGCCCCGCCACAAACCTCTGCGGTGTCCCCAGGAGCAAATCCACAAACCTGGGTGTGATCTAATTTGGGATCAGACCCAGGAGAAAGGCCGAGGGCACCTCCAGAGACAACCCCTTCCTCCCAAGCCCTTGCAAAACAGTCTCCTCCTGTCGCTGGCGGAGGTCCTGCCGCCATCCCCACCCCGCCCCAAGCCTAGCGCGGCCCTCACCTGCTGGACGGAGCTGTTCTCTGGCACTGCGAACTCCTCCTTCTCCTTCGGGGTCTTCACGGTGACTTTCATGATCTTGGGTTCCGTGGAGGCGGTGGCGGCCGGTGCGCCGGCACCTTCGGCCGCCGCGGCGTTGTCCTGGGAACTCGGAGGGCCGCCGCTTTCACCATTCTCGGCCATGGCGGCGGCGGTGACTCAGGCGCAAAGGAGGGAGCGGGTGAGCGAGCGGGAGCCAGGCAACGCCAGAGCCCGCCTGGCCGGACAGCGGAGAATGTGAGGCACGCTGCCTCAGTGACAACTGGCTCAGGGCCGCCCTGGCGGGCGAGGAGCCGCGGAGCTTGGCGTGGGCTCCGGCGCAGGCCCGGGTCGGGCGCTCGGCAGCCGCCGTGTGTTCAGACGCCGATCAGTCGCAGCGACATCCGCAGCAGCCGCCGCCGCCGCTTCCTCCTCCCCGCCCCTCCCCCTACGCCGCTCTGCCCGCGCCGCGCGGGGCACGCCGGGTAACGCGGCTGGCGACGTCGCCGAGTCATGCCTGGCCGGCGCCGTTTGGATCTCCGAGTGCTTTTCTTTCCCTCTCCCGCTCCATTGCCCAAAGCGTAGGCGCGTCCAGAGTCAAGGACTAAAAACAGAGTGGGGTGGAAGAGGTCAGTTCATTCCTTCTTACCCCTTTCACAAAAATATAAATTTGGGGGTTCTGGGAGGCACCGTAAGGGCGCACGAGGATGACGTCACGGCTAGCGAAATTACTGGAAAGGGAGCTAGACCACTGGGCGCTGCGGCCGGAAATGCGCCTGCGCGATGGCAGGCCAGGTAGTTCTCCCCCACCCTCTCACCTCACTCCGGCGGTTACGGTGCGCATCCCAGAGGAGCCTGAGCTTGTTTCACGGTGTACCCCACTGGGAGGAGGGTCTGGAACAAATGCCCGCGAGGGTTTTTTGTAGTTGATATTGAAATGTACTTAAATGTTGCGTACTTTAAAATTTTTAAACGTTTGCTTTTACTACACGGTGTGCTAGAATTGAAAGATAAGTTAATGGACGAAAAAAATCCTCATCATAAAGAAAGGAAAATGGAGGACGCCCCTGTCGCCACCCTGCTCTGTTCCGAGCGGTCAGTGCTCCGAGGCCAGAGCTTCTCAGCCAGGTTTGGTCAGGGGATCAGGCCTCTTATGTTGGCAGTGGCGCTGAAAGCCCTGCTAGCCCCCGGGTGAATTCTCTGTCAATACTGTCCCGTAAGATGTTTGGGGCAGAAACATAGTATCCAAGGCGTGCTCTCCCGGCTGAGACAGCACAATGTAGCCGAGGTGTTCATTTTATACTCTACCAAATTAACTTATTGCCCTGTTTCAGACTTTAGGTGACATCAAAGGTAGTCGTTCAAAAATTATTTTCAGTGTAATACATGTGTAAATAAGAAACAGGAAGTTAATTTTTCCCTAGAGAATATTAAATTTGAAATGACCTCATCGCTTGCCTTTAAAGATGACTTGCAAGGAATGTACAACACTGGACATAAACTGTATAAACCAGTATTGCGCAAATGTAAACTTTGACACCACACCGTGACGCAGGTGTGGAAAGATAGACTTTGTATTTCTGTTCTTAAACCGTCCAGCTCTGTTCTGGCTCTTTTAAGTACTCTTGCATGAAGTCCGCTTCTTAGCAGAGCCACTCTGAAATCTGAGTCTAAGAACTTCGGAACGTATAAATTGCTATAGCGACGTCATTTCCTATCAGCGAAGTTTCTGGCAGCATTTTTCAACAACATGAAGAAATTACACAGAGCTTTCTGCTAAAGAATGGCTGTTTACATATGTTTAGATGTGAAGTAATCATTACTCCTCAAGGTAGAAAACCATTTATATCTAACTCTGCACTTACGAAATTGCTCTGTGATTATGTGTGTGTTACATTAATTTCTAAAAAGTTTTGATGACTGTGCACGATTTATGAAGTAATATAATTTATCTGTACGCATATACAGTATAGTAATTCATTATGGACCTTTTTAGAAACAGCCCTACCCTCTAAGAAACCACTGAGGTGTGTGTTTAGATCAGGGATTAGCAAACTTTCAGAGACTAGATCCTAGGTATGTTGGGCTATGTGGGCCGTGCGTTCTCTGTCTCAAATAGTCAGCTCTGCCGTAATATCACAAAGCAACCATAGACAATACACACAAGACTAAGCCTGATTATGTCCTGGTAAAACTACCTACAAAAAAAAAAAAAAAAATTTGGCCCAAGAGGTCTAAATGTCTATTTGAGGCATTTTCTTTTTAATATATTTTGTTTATTAATGTGAAGTGAAGTCGCTTAGCCATGTCGGACTCTTTGCGACCCCATGGACTATAGCCTACCATGCTCCTCCATCCATGGGATTTTCCAGGCAAGAGTACTGGAGTGGGTTGCCATTTCCTTCTTCTTATTAATAGTCTAGAAAAAATTACAAAAGCATACTTCATTCATTCTATAAACATTGATTGAGTACATTAATGTTGAAGATACGGAGGAATAAGATTCAGTCTGCCCTCAAAGAACTTAGAAGCAAGTTGGATGAGGGGTAAGAAATGGAAGGAGGGGGAGATAAGTGGTGCCATGCTGATATGGGTTTAATAACCAACTCTCCAGAAAATAAGCTTTGATTTTTTTTTTTTTTAGCATTTCCCAATCCCCTTGATGTAAATATTTGCAAAATGGCCAATCTCAAGCTACCAACTTCAGGTCCTTGCTCACAGAATTCCAGACATTTTATCATTAAGTTTTCATAAGTGAATATGAGCCAGCTGTAAGTGGATAGATCGCATTTTTTAAGTCTCAACATTCAAAATTCAACTATAATAATAAGAGGCTGTTATTCACATGGTAGAAGAATTCTTCCTTGACAAAATGAGTCAACAGATTCAATCAATCAACAAGAATTTATTGAGCAAATTAATCCCGTGTCCAGGAACTTACATAGTAACACAAGATGGTACATATGTCCAAAACTGGTATAAATAACAGGCGTTGATCATGCTTCCATTTTCTCAAAAATGAAGCCCAAGCTTCTTAACTAGGTACAAGGCCCTCCACAACTAACTTCTAGTCTCTCAAGCTTCACTCCCATTACTCTATAGAAACGATCTGCTGCAGTCAAACAGGTTTATTCTCATCTCTAGAAATACTTGTACATTGTATTTTTCTCACCCAGGATCACTCCTTCAAGTCAATACCCCCTCCACACATGCCCATTATTACTGCTGCTTCCCTAATAGAAAACACCCAAGCAGAATCATTTTTTTCTCTGACCTCCACCATAATTATTTGTACACATCACCTAACAATTCATCACTTGTAACATACCTTCTATTATCTAAAGCGATTTCTCCTGTTACCAGTCCAGTTCACACCCTCATTAATTCTGGCCTAGATTGCAACAATAACCTCCTCCAGATTCCCTTGCTTCCAGTCTGAAGTCACCATCCTCAAAACTATTTATCATTGGTGCCATATGCCATCCCTGTATAACTAAACTTTCATTATGACACCCAGATAATTGTCATTAGCTCTCAAAATAATATCTTACTCCTATCTTAACCCTAAATCAAGTGAGTCCACTAAGCATTCCAAGCTTGTCTTGTGCTTTCCTGCCTCTAGGCTTCAACACATTTTCACTGCAAATTGGAATTCTTATCTCTCATTTTGACTTCATTGTTTTACCCATCTTTCAAGACTTAGCTGAAATGAGACTTTCCCTAACAGTTTTTCCCTGATAATGTTTCTTTGATTAGATGTATTTTCTAAATACTCTATATTCCCATATGACACCCTTCTGGTGTCACTTACCCATTTGGCCTTGTGTCATTCTCAGTCGTGTGCACATTTGTTTTATTAGACAAGGTCCTTGAAAACAGGGTCAAGTCTTGATCATCAAGCCATCATTAGCCACACAGTGCCTAAGCTGATTTCTTGGCATGATAGCATTTTCTGCTAAAGTTAATGAATTATTGAACCGTCCGTTTTACCACTAGAGAAGAAATTCATTTAAATCAGTAAATCATATTTTATACTCCTTTGTCTCCTGCAAGGTTTATGTCGCAGTGATAGATAGATATCAATACCTATATACAATACTTAACTTGAACCTTATTTGCTTTGCAGTAGTTTCAGAGAAAGGACATATTATTTCACCTCCTGCTTGGTGCAGGGGAAGGAAGGAAAGTCAGAGAAGGATTTTAAAGTGAAGTGAAGTGAAAGGAATTTGAGTTGCATGTAAAGGAATGGATGTAATTTGGTTAAGTGTGTTGAAAGGGGCAACTTCATGAGAAAGAGGCAGTGATGAGAAATAGAAACGCTGTTAGGGCACTGATCTTAAACTGTGGTCCACAATCTAGGAACAGTCCATTAGTATCTCTTGGGCTACTTGCAAATCAAAGGGAAAAGGGTGAAATGTTCAATAAGTTTCTGAGCCTTAACCCTGGAGAAGTGTTTATGGTGAGGAGGGTTGTTTATTAATTTGTCAACTAAAACTCTAGACCACTGGGTAGGATTTACAAATAGATCTACAGCCACTACACACTTTGAATACAAGCTGCTCAGTCGATTCCCACAGCTGAGCCAGCCAGTGGATAACAAACGAAGCAACAAGAGGGCCAGCAGTGGCCCGAGGGAAGGAGTTATAGCAAGCCTCTCTGAAGAAAACACTTGTGGTTCTTACTTTGTTCCAGTCTCACCTTTTTTTTTTTTTTTTTTAGTTTTTATTTTGAAATAATTATAGACTCGCATGGAAGCAGGAAAAACAGTACTCCAAAGAGTCCTGTGTACCCTTCACCTGATTTCCCTCTATGGTGACATCTTACGTTTTGGCTGCATAATATTAAACTAGGAAATTGACATGTTAACTGGGCTATAAGCCTTATTCAGTTTTTACCATATTTTTAAATTTTCATTGATGTGTGCATGTGTGTGTATCTGTCCAATTTTATCCTGTGTATAAATTCATGTAACCATAACTAGATGCCAGGGTACAGAACTATTCCATCATCAGTCTCACCATTTTTTGTCATTCCTATACAGCAGGGGTTCTCAATCTTGACGCTACTGACAGTTGAGACCACAGCATTCTTTGTTTAAAGCAATGGGGAGGTGCTGTGCATTATAGGAGTTTTAGCAGCATCCCTGACCTCTGCTTAGCAGATGC